TCTAGAACTATTGTAAAACAAACCGGTACTCTAAAGAAATAGTTAATTTTACTGATTGGGTGCGCTGCGTGAACTTAGCGCACCTTTTTTTGAAAGTCTATTTTTTTGTATTTAATGACCGGAACTATTGAAAATTGTTGCAAAGAGCTCTAGAACTTTTCAAGAGAGTATCAGAACTCTAAAAAAAATGTCACATTTTTAAATATGGTGTGCCAAGTTCACGCAAGTATTTATCAGCGGTACGCAATTAATGTGACTTATCGCGCCGATTTCTGTTGGATTACGCGGATTACGGTGCAACCGATCAATCAACGTAAGAAACAAACAGTACACAAGCAGACAGTACGGACAATCAGCCGGACAATACGCGGTGGGAAGTTGCGGAAATTAAACGATCGAGAATCTCGCGACGTTACTTGCTTGAGGGTTTCGAATTTTATACTGTGTAATTTCAACTCGATAATAATTTTTCTCAGTGAAAATTTCGTAATAAAAAACTATGAATAAAATCGGAGAATTTTCAGACACCTAAAAATATATATCATTTCATCCTTAGCGAGATACCCTTGCATATGGCTTCAGGAGATTCTTCTAAAATTAAAAGAAAAATATTCTAAGCGCGATATTCTTAAAGTTAGAGAAATTTCGTCTCTTATCTACAGTACAAATCTTGTTCTTAAGATAAATGTCTTCCAGTAGAAGGATATTCTACTGCAAGTAAGCATATTCCTCTTGACTTGAATCAATTCCTCTTGTTTCAAAAAGAAAAAAAATTCGAATAATATCTAATAGATTCCCGATTAATTACTTCATCACAATTCACCAGTCCACTATATTAGAAGAAAAATACTCTTCTGGTAAAAATTTTCGCTTAGAATATGAGATTGCAAGAAATAGGGTTTTGCTGGAATCTTTTTTCTGGGTATTGGAATATTTTTCTTTTGATTTTAGGAGAATCCTCTTGAGGTATAAGAGGATTCCGCTAAAAATGAAATATCTCCTTAGTTGGATATTAGGGAGACAAGACGTGTTGTCATTCGACGAGAGAAATGTCAAACGCGCAGAGAACAACGTGATTGTCAATTGCTAAGTATGCGCGTGAAATCACGCAGAGACCCAATTAAAACGTCGACGTTCGTTAAGAGCTCGTTAAGTGCGCTGTGACGAGCTACACCTGTAAATCTGAGTGCATCCATTATCAGTACACGCGCTTTGTGTCAGCGGCTTATCGCGTAGGACACGTGATCGATCATCACGTTCTCCGGCGCCGTCGAAAAAATCGATGTACTCATTAGCGAGTGGAAACAATTATTCTTGAAATATCAGATTACGTCAGGCGATCACGACATCCGACAACGCGACGGACTTTTCGATGACGTTTCAGTTTTCTGTCTCGCAAAACTCGCGAGACGTCTCGGCGAGACTGGAATCTTATATTTTCGGCACCGCTCATAACTTAACGTCACCGGGGGAAGCACGCAATTGAGCCGGGACATTTGGTAAGGGAACACGCGCGTAGCGGCTCCCAACTTGTTTCTTGAATTGAATTTATGCGCCAATAATTTAGCCGACATCGTTCGCGCCGCCCAAAGACGTAAACCACATCGGGTCCCTAATATCGCGCTTATGTCGGCATTGAAATTCTAAAATTAGCAATAAAGCGCGCGTGCTTCAGAACGAGTCAATGTAAAATTGCATCTCGTTGAAAGAAAAAAAATTGCCGATCCTGCACCACGATGCATTCGCAGAAACTATACTTCGGAAGGCACATTGGCACGCGATAAATGAAACGTAAAAAGAGAGAGCTCGAACACAAGCGAGCTATAATTTTTCCGTAAAATTCCTCCTCGTAACAATAGCGAATAATAATTATTTTGGAATAACATACTATTCACAATATTTCACTTCTCCTCGGAATTACACAAAATTGTCATAATGAAGTTAAATGAATCTTTGAGACGAATCGTTCTTGAGAGTTTGAAATAGAAAAATTAAAATGACACTACTGCTCACCCGCACAATGAAAAAATTATTTTTATACTTGGAACTAAAATATTTAGTATATACGATTTGGTATATACAATTTGGTACATTACCACGTTTTTCCTTGTGTCTAGTGTATGTATTATTCAAAAAGCAAAACACACATAGCAACAATTAAATCTGTTGGTTGCAGTTACCAAACATTTGGTTATCTCATTTTAACCAAATGTTGCGATATACCAAATTTTAGTTTCGATACGATCCTTCTTTCAATGCAATATTTCAAATTGTCATAAAGTCAATCTGTCCGCCAACCCTAAGCGGAATTAAGCGCGCGTAATCGTCTTCCGAGTCTTGAACGTCGCGAATTGTGCCGCGATACCGCGTCTGTACGGACAGTCAATGTATTCTAACGAGTGCTTTAACTCGGTTAATTCCCACTGGACGTTGCACAGACGCTCCTGTGCGCGCGAATGGCACTTCCTGCAATGACGCTTCCCGGAAGCGCCACTGTGCGCCGGTTTGTGGATTCTTCTAGGGCGCGGCAGTTCGTATAAATTATACGGCTAGATAAGACCATCGGTCCGTCCATGTATGAGGCTTATTGTCGAGTCGCGAGTGCATGATCGCCGCTCATATCGCAACGACGTCGTAAAACTCGCTCGTGTCGCCCCGCTCGTTAATCGCCGCGCGACCCGTAATGTTAAGCACCAGGGGGCGGGGAACCCGATTCGTAAAAGTGAAAAGTATAAATCCGTGTAATGCACGGTCGATAATTGATGTTCGTGTGCGCGACAACGCGACTTGCAATACTCGTCGAGTGACTCCTACCGTGTTCTCATCGTCCCTTTGCTTCTCTACAGAGTTGCAGCATACATTAACATATCTTTCAGCCCCCCCGCGTACCCCAAGTAACAAGTCACGTATGCTCGTGACGTACAGCGGATTTTATTTAGCACGAAGACCATTTGTTAAAAGAAAGAAATTTGACTAGACTGAAGTGATCGCCTTGAGATATTTAATGTAATTATTAATCAATAAACCCGTCACCCAAAATCTTTTTATCTGACTCACCGATCATCAGGAGCTCAGGATCGGCCACGTTCTGCTACAGTTCTGAAATCAAAATAGTATCATCAATTAGATATAAACGGCAATGGCTTGACGAGAAAAATAGGCATCGATACGAGCGTATTAAATTTTTACGATTGATAGTAACTTAACGATTTTTTCTTGGATAACCATATCCTAGTTCTCGATCGCAAAGGGTTAAATGCGGAAAAAGTTGGGATAAATTTACCTTTGAGCCGACTCTGCTCGGCCTGAACCGGATTCTCCGGTACGGCATCCACTAAAACTGTTGGGAAACGCACCCATTTGCGTGGTGCACGAGTCTCGCCTCTGAAAAAAAAAGCAAGTTTCTAGTTCGATAATATTATTTCGATTCTTTGTGATAAATACGTATGCGCAATTCACGCGTTTCTCCCAACTTTAGCTTACAAATTGATCGCAGTTAAGTCAAAATTCCGACAACGGAAATGAAATGAACTTTTGCAGCTATCGAGCGCTTAATGTATTTTAATTTCACGAAGCCTCGTCAGATCCTGTTTTCCTTCTTATTTTAAGAAAAAAAATTGATGCACGAGTTATAATTTAACTACATCATACCTATTATTACGCGCACTAGGAGATGGAGGACGTCGGTGTGAAAAGTTTTTTAATTACGACATGTCTTAACGTCAATTATATTGGGTCGGTTTACGAGATTAATTATAATTATTTGTCGATCCTAATTACGCAACACACGCAACGATCACGGAGTCAACGTCGATTTTTCCGTACTGCTCGCTCAGAGAAGAAACACACGAATTACGCGTGTTATTTACACATAGCTGCTTCGTGCTACCTTGTTATTAATCACTGTGTCACTTTGCTCCTTATTATTTTTCGCGTAACCCCACACTATCTGTCGCGCGCACACTTCACACGCTTCACTACCGCTACAAGTCCCTTCAATGATTCCTTTGACACGCTAAAGTAAAACCGTAATATGTTGCGGCGCGGCACGCGATCTCGCTTACCTCTTTATACGACTCGCAGCTGTACGACTAGATGTATTAATACCGCGAGCATTGATGCCGATAATTGTCAGACCAAATTACCAAAAACGTCGCTAAAAGATCGCGCATTATTTTCTGGCGCAACGCTCGCTGCTCGCGATACCCGCTGATTATTGCTCATTAATCGCGCAGTGACCAAGCAACATTAATGCAACGCAAATTTCATAGCGACACGCGTCGTTATTACTTTGTGAAGCTGTCGTCCCAGCGATACGACGAAACGTAGCGGCCTCTTAGCTCCACTGAACCCTTTATTTAAGACGTTCATTAACATCGACGTCGCATGTCTTCATAAGCTGACGGCTAAATAATCACATGCGCGTGTATGTGCGCGCGCGTCTTTTTCGTTTTTTTGAGGAATCAAGTGTCCCATCCGTGTGCGGTACGCCTCGAGTGACTCGACCACGAATACCGATCGCATGCTCATAATAACACAGCCACGTAAGCCTCCCATCATTATCGATTTTCCGAGGTGGCGAACTGCCTGCGCGATCGACGATCGCATCGCGTCGCAAGGATAAGAGTTCTATTCCTGATTAGTACGTGCCGCGCAGCAGCGATAAACGACTAACGTGAACGATCCCCGGCGCGGTTTTGCTTCTCTTCGCCACTGTCTCTCCTCTCCGCTCGCTCTGTTTCTCCCGGTGCATGCAGCGTACTTCTGTTTGGACAGATTACCGTGACATTGCCAGCGACAGTAGTGGTAGTAATCGTCGCAAGGTGCACGCCGGTCAACCGGCAAAAAATCGCAAGGCATATGCACGAGATATTTACGCTTTCGTGCGCGAGCCACCAGCCGTTAAACGACACTTTGGTCAGCGCGCGGTGTATGCATCACCGCGATGCACCGGCGTGTTTAATCGCGATGACAGCGACATGTAGGCCGCAAATACGCTAAGAGACACTTGAGCAGAGCTTCGGGTGGATCGTCCATTTAAAATTAACCCGCGTCAGGTTTTGCCGAGCCCAGCTAACGGTGCGATAGCTTAGGATTGAATTTTTCGCGGTCGTGTTTTGAGCCGGGGCGTCGCGGCGTGGCGCTAAACGGCGCGAAATGACAGGCCGTCGAGTAAATGCACGATAATTAATCTCTTCCGCATTAATATGCATGTAATATGCGGGCAGAAATCGTCACTTAGCGGCGATTTTTCCGATGTAACGACAACGCATCGGCACTTGACGGCGTGCGCATCGATCAAACTCGTCGAACATATCGAAATTCTTGGCAGTTCTTCGGCTCGAGGGATTAGCTCGTACTTTCTCTCTCTCTCTCTCTCTCTCTCTCTCTCTCTC